GTGGCTTCATAGCTCAGTTGGTAGAGCATCGCACCGGTATCGCGGAGGTCACGGGTTCGAATCCCGTTGAAGCCCTGATTTTTTCAGGCTTCTTCTTTCCAATTGCTTAAATTGGACAATTAACTGCGATGATCATTCTTCACTTTCATCTACAACCGCAGTTCATATATGAATTATTTCATATAAACTTCACATCTTGTATCTTCTTGTGACAATTTGGGCCTATACCCTACAGCCTCTTTCCAAGGTTCAATTATGTGGTAGAACTTCATTTTTTGTTCTCTTTACAGGGGTGAAGTAACACGCAGCATGTTACAAGCTATTTATACGTGCTGATCTGGCAGTTAATTTTGATTGGAGGAAACAGCACATTTGCCTTCAATTACCAGATTGAAGCACGATAAGTTGGTGAAATATTTTCAATAATGTAGAGTCACTATAAAGGCATTTTTTTAAATTTACATAAATCGTTTTTCCTAAAAAAGGCTGTTATATCTCCCATTAATTTGACAGGAGAAAAGTCACGGAATGACATGTTCGTGCCGGTAATTGATGTCTGAGTATCATTAAAGAAAATCGGTTGTAGAACCAGTTAGATGCAAAGCTCTGTCTAAGAGTAGAAAAGCTAGGTCAACTTGTTGCATTACAAGTCCAGAAAAAAAAAGCTCTATCTGATATTATAAATGTTTAAAAAACCCTTCCAAGCTTGAGTGCATGAGGCCCTATTAGAGGTTTTGGGATGTTAGAGGTTATGGGATGTTTAGGTAAAAAGGGATGTTTAGGTAAAAAGGTAAAAAGTTAGGTTTAGGTAAAAAGTTAACAGGATACAGGATATTTTGGGGGAAAATTAATGGGATATGGTATATCTAGATCAGATAAAACGGGATATCGAGAAAGAAAATCGGTAGTTTTGCAATTGGAATTAACGGAAGACGGGATATGTAGGCCAAACATTAACGGGAAATGGCATACTCAACCACCCCTCCCCCCTTCCCTTACCCCAGTGGGGCCTCTTGAGTGAACATATGTCCAACTTTTCTCCTGCTCAACTCATGCTTACAAAACAGATAATTCTGTACTGTGACTGGCTGTCGCTCAAAATTAAACTTTTGTCCACGAGAAGCACTGATCTAGTCGGAGACAGCGCATTGACATTGCAGACAGACTCCATAGAGCTATTATTTTAGCTATTTATTTGGAATTTGTTTATTTCTCTTAGAAGGGTTTTATTGTTGACTTAAAAGTTGATGTTTTGTTTACCCAAGATGTTCTTAGAGTTGATCGATTGAATTCTGAAAATTATTTTGATTTCTTAGGGGTGCTTAATTTGAATTTGAAAAAAGTAATGTATGTTCCCCACTTCAACTATTGCACTGAGATCTGGCACATCTACAGTGAAAGTGCCAGTGCAAAAACTGGAAGAAGTAAACGAACGTGCTCTCCGATTTGTTGTCAATGAAAAACAAACGCACTACCAAGAATTACAAGCCATTCTTACTAGCTTCTAGGGTTGCGCCTCGCATGGGTAACTTTATTTTCCCGTTCGCGCAATTCCTATTGGTCCTTTTCTTCTTTTAATTATATTGTAATTTTGTGACCAATAAAGTTGATAGACTAGACTAGACTACTCAATAAGATAGGCTTACCTTTATTGACTAGTCAAAGACTCCAAAAAATAGTTAGTACGGTTCTTAAAGCTATTAAAAACGATCATGCTCCTAAAAGCATAAAAAAAAAGTTACTAGATTTTAGAAGCACTAAATACGATCTGAGGGAAAATGACATTCTAAAACTGCCTAAGATCAACACCAAAACCTGCGGACTGAAATCGTGGCGTTACGTAGCGCCAACGCTGTGGAATTCACGCAGAACGATTAGAACTTTTAAGGCCTTCAAAAACAGTGTTTAAAAGACAATTGTTCTTCTGACTTACTAGAAATTATTTTTTGTCTTTTTGATTGTATATATGATTATCGTTTTTACTTCCTAGCATAATATGGAATCATTCTAGACTGTATTTCATTATACTGACTTGGCTTTTTCGAAAAGTTTTTACCCATGTATTATGATATTTACTTTTAATTTTAAGTTATCGTTATATGGAACACCTGTAAAGTAGCTGTTGTGTCCTTTTATCCTGTAATGACACACTAGAAAAAGCTGAGTGTATTACACAATAAACTTGAATTATATTGTATTAAATTATGTTGTATCTATCATTATGATATAGATAGGACCCTGTGTGCGCTCTGATTGGTCAAAAAACCACGCTTTATCAGAGTATAAAACATAGAAAAAGCGTTTTTCATTGTTTTTCGCCTATATCATAAGGCAAATAAAGAAGCCCAAGCCGTGTATTAAACTATGATGAAACACTCCGGACCTTTGAGGACCTTCGAGAAATCTACATCTACATCTACATCTACATTTATTTAGTTGATAAAGTCCCGCAAGACATCACATCAACTGTACCAAACATAAATGCACATATGCATAAGCTAAAAAGGATAATTAAAAAATATGGAAATGTAGGAAACACTCGCCTGCGGCCCGTGTTTTCTACATTTCCCTGTTTCTCAAATGACCGTGTGTTTTATCACAGTGTAATACACGGCTAAGGCTTCTTTATTGATTAAATAAACTTGTATTGAATTTTTGAAAACAGCCCTAAGTAAAAACGCGCGCTGATTGGTTAAAAATCGTATTCCTATTAAGCAATTAGATTATGAACTCGAGATTTCTATTTAAACAATAGAGTTTTTCTGTCGAGGAAGTATCGGCTGATAGTTGCCTCGCGGAAATTTGATTTTCTCAAAACAAATACTTTTCCAAGAAGCGAAGCTTCGAGGGCAAATATGCTAGTTTTAAGAACATCAAATTTCCAAGGGGCAACAATCAGACCGATAGTTCCGAGACATAAAAACTCTATTGCCTTTATTATTCACCACTAAATTTTCTTCCGCGCGCCAATTCAAGCTTCATAGTGAATTATTTGCAACTTTTTTTTAGATGAAAGCCGTGAAAGCCAAATGTAAAATTTGAAAAAGAAAACAGACAAAAACCCACTTAATACAATTTAAATTGTTTATTTTCCTTAAGCCCGCTTGTGTAGACCTGTTTACAGCAACATTTTCGCGGATGAGTTCTATCTATCCGGGTATTTTCCTCGGACGGGCACTATGAGCTGATAGTGTCTCTCCGCAGATAAACACTATCGCGTCACGTGATGAATTTAAACCAATAAGAATCAGAGAAAATTTAGTGGTGAACTATCACGCATACAAATCGAGAGCAAATAATCTAATTGTTTTAGTATTAATCTACTAGTCGTTCAAAACTTTATCAAAATCTTCTTCAAAGACACTTACAAAATGCCAAGAAGCGTTCGTCATTTTGTTATCAAGGGAACACTGCTACGCTGCTCATTATCTATCACAGAATATAGGTGAGTAGTGCACCCAATCAGAGAACGGCATTCGTGATAGAACGCTAGTAGATTTATACTAAAACTCGATAGAAACACGGTACATATTTTCTATTTCTTAAATATTGTATCTACCAATATAATGTTAATACTGGTAGCACTTTCCGTTCTGCACAATTGGTAATGTAGGTTATATATCCTCACCTGAAACATTTTTAGTGATACCAACCTTTGCAGTTGTTTTCTGTATTCTTTGTTATTTGTTTATCTACATGTACCACTCTTAGCCTTGTACTAAGAGGCATTTTGAATTTCAGAGCTAATTTGTGGCCTTAAAAACGGAGTATCCGGATATTTTTGAATCCGCAACTTTATCTTTCCGGATACGCTTCCGTCCACACGCATCCGACGAATTCGGCAGCGAATCCGGATATTTTTTAATCCGCTCTCCAGAGTGGAAAAAAAATAAATCCGCAACGAATCCGATAACGTGTGGACGGTGAATCCGGATATTTTTTAATCCTATGACGTAGCAAAACCGTGTCCAGTCTCTTACCGAACAATAAACCAATATGGCGGCAAAACGTGTAGGCCTAGTTCCTCTAGAGTGAATCCGGATACCATCGGATGCGTGTGGACGGGCGAATGCGATTTGAATACGCTACGTGTGGACGGGGAAATTTTTGAATCCGGAAAGAAAAAGTTGCGGATTCAAAAATATCCGGATATGTGTTGACGGGGTCTTAGAGACGCTTGGAGCGAATCAATCAAAATCTCTCTCGCGCTAAACACTGTCCGCACGAATCTAAGATGGCGGCGATGGCGGAAAGATGTCCATGTAGTGTTTGCCTTTTTTCAAGCCTAGAATTGGCAGAGGTTATAAAACACGAATGCCAAACCGTCTGTGGTAAGTTGAATGACTGTTAACAAAATTAGGTTTTTAAGGGCCGTTTCAAAAGAGACCCTTGCCCTGTAACATAAAGTAACCGTTCAAATTCCCGCCATTTGTATTTTCCCCATAGGACTTGATAGGTAAAGGTAAAATCTGCATACGAGCCAAGTGGTCCATCAGGCCGGAGCTTATCTCGGGCTCTGTAGCATGAAGCGACTAGGAGTATTTCTACTCCCCCCTGGATGGGATGCTAGTCCATCGCAGGGTTACCCCCAGCATTAAATTCGCCGGTACTCATTTACATACCTGGGTGGAGAGAGGCATTGTGAGAGTAAAGTATCTTGTCCAAGAACACAATACAATGTCTCAAGCCAGGACTCGAACCCGGACCGCTCGATCCGGAGACGAGCGCACTAACCATGAGACCACCGCGCCTCCCCATAGGACTTTATAGCAGCAACATTAATGGCAGCAGTGACGAAACGCAGAGGAATTTTCTTTGTGTTCACAATCTCTCGGCATTATCTCCATCTTGCGCAAAAAAACATGGTACACGGACGTCACGCAGATGTACCGCTCACAAGAGACCAGAATGTAGTATCTAAATATCAAATGAATATCTAAAATTGTATTTATTCAGCCTTCAAACGTAACATATCAAGAATCGAAATCTAGTTTGATCCTGCTTCACAAATTGCCTGCTAGGAAGTTTCCAGCTCTTTATTAACTTCTCTTGAGAAATAACCGTTCAAAAAATTATCCATCGTGGCATATATTGTGAACTTTTTCTCGCCTATATCGCACAGCTTTCGGTGACCGCTGACCGAAGACTTGCAGGCCCTGGCAAAGAGGTTGCTTTTTCAGATAAACGTTATTACATTATAAAGCAAACGGACGTCGATAGTGAGCTGATTAAAGTTTTCGATGTTGTTATGCCAACTTCGAACTATTTAAAAGGCTTTCCTTTACACCTAAAATTTGGACCATTTGGTTTGGAATAGATAAAAAAGTCGGGTTAGAACATTAACTTAAATTGCAAAGAAAGAAACCCCTTCAAGGTGGGTTTCTTGCCTTCTTTCTCCTCAGTGAGATGATAAAAGTCATGTAACTGGGTGTGTACAGTTTGATCGGAAAATGTCATACATACATTAATTTCCCACTCCATTACTCTAAATGAAAGGCGCTTTTCATGATTCCCTTGTGCACAACATCTTTGAAGATGTTATGACTCGAAACTGTCTCAGTTTTAGAAGACTACTTTGGCAGACTCTCAAAGAAATAAAGTTTCATAACGTAACATACATTAAAAAATACAATATTTAGAGAGGAAGCCACGTTACCCTTAACTGGTTTTCATGCAGTTCGTTTAATTATCCTGGTTGCTCGCACTCACTAGTTTAGGCATGAAAAGCAACAATAAGAACAATGACAACAACAACAACAACAACAGCAACAAAAATAGGCAACCAATTTCTTCGCCAACAAGGAGTGCCGTCACTAAATGCAACTTGGTGTGGTACTGCACCATCATAATTGTAGCTTTTGCTCATTGTATTTGCCTGGTAGTCAGCAACTGGATTTGTGGCTAAAAGTCAAAGCAGAAAACATGATAATGTAATTCACACTTCACTGAGAGAACCTCATTAGGATATGAAATTAAACGAGACACTTAGGACGGAAACCTATAGAATAACCATGTTTTCGGTCAGGGTATTTTGCGATTGTTTGAATACATCAATAAGCTATTTTCGATATATTAACATTCGAACTTGGCTACGAAGCTTGGGGAACAAACAAATCAATTATTCATCCCTCAACCTCCCTACGATTTCTTTTGTTTTACTTCCCCAAGCCTCGGAGCGAAGTTAGAATTGCAATATGTCGAAAATGGCCCATTCCATAGCACTTTACACTGAAAACTGTTTAAATTTGCAAAAGGATACAGCTAAATTTGAAGCAAGGCAATCTCGAGTTCTTTCATAACCTCATTTTAAACTGTTTTTGTACAACCAGATTTAAAAGCAATTTTAGGAACACAAGGAAATCAGGATGTTCACGCTACTATGTCCAGCTGCATTGTAATTGGAGGGGGGGGGGAGGGGCTCTTCATGGTACTATCAGGGGTGCTCGCCGTACTTAAAAAGGGTAAAAGATCGTAGCTTGTTACCGCTTAGGGAAGCATCTTAGTAGTTAGTTCACTGGTACTGGTATTATGTTACCACTGCAGGCTGTATTTCACTAATGCATAAGCCTGCGCACAGGCATAGCTATAAGCAAGCGAGAAAAGCGCAGCATAAGCATAACTACCGCATACACAAGCGAAGGATCAACAGGATTCTCGATACCGGCTCATTCTCATCAAGTAAACGTGTGGCTCTAGGGACGAGAATGGATAACAGCCCTCCTCAATTGTCAAACAACATGGCAGAGTCCGCCACGTTGTTTACGATGCATTCGCAGAGATCTGGGCAAAACTAAGTTATAATTTGCTGACTGTCTTATACTTATGCTTTGTGCTTATGTCATCGCACAGCCGTTCTCAATGCGACATAATTACCGGCATAGAGATTAGGAGGACGAAAAATGTTTATTCTCCTTTTGCTTATGCGTATGCTTACATGTAGTTATTGACGAAAAACAATTAAGGTGTTTTTTTTTTCTATCAAGGAAAGTACGGAACGTCCCATTTGCAGAAATGTCTGAACACTTTTGTCCCTGATTGAGGCTGTCAAGAAAACATTTTTTAATTGACGGACAGTTTCACTGCGATAAAAGATACTACATTGGTGTAACTTTGGAGTGAAAATGAACTCGAAACTGGCACCACAAAAGAGCTCTTGCATGTCGGAGTTCCCCCGGAATTGCTTATCTAATATCTAGCAGCTGCTTTCTTTCCTTCCCAACAATTTAAAACGCAGTCGTGGCACTTGGCTACTTTCCGCGTCTATCCTTACAGTTCCGACTACACTCTTCACATACAAAAAAAGAAAAAAAAAAAATGAGGTTTATTTGATTAAAGACATAATCTGTTACCTCCATAACTAGGGTTCGTGTGACCCTCTTTCGGCTGCTCTCTGACGGATCTTGACCGAGAGTCACTGTCATATTTCGGCCGTGAGTTCCCCGTGGCATCGACGTTCTTCACTGTCTACAAAGTAGATTAAACTTTGTTAGGATTTATGGAGGCCCGTTCTGGTCAAAATTGTAGTAATAAAATTGCCCCACAAGTCAGTTTTTTCAGTCAACGTTTTACTTTTTATGAGCTTGCTGTGTATTTTCATCGGCGGTACAAATTTCTTTTTCGAGGTGGTTGCTTATTTTTTTTTTTTTAGCAGCCTGAATTATTTTAATTTAGTCAGGTTAAATTTTTTGTGGGTACTACGAACGAATTTTTTCACTCGTAATGCAAATTATTTTTGACTGGTACTGCGAATTATTTTTTACTTGTGGTACTGAGAATTATTTTTTCATTGG